ATGTCACAGGAACTTTGTAATAAATCCATTGGGAAATAATTACTTACATTTCCAAATAAGTAAAGAAATAGACGATAATAGGCACTGGTCCCGTAGGAGTAGGGATTCTGACTCACTCTCTGTAGGAATTTTCTTATATAGAATTGACCTACTATGACCCTCAATTCCCATACACTATCCCTCTGACATATTGATATCTACAACCCTTGTGGGATTGTGAATGAAGACATTTATATTACACTGATGTAGGTGCAATTAAAGAAAATTGGATCTATTGAGCACCTGTCCAATGAATCTAATATTTCAAAGACAGAAAGAGAAAAAGGACAACCACTCTCATTCCTGGGCTAACTCAGTTCCACTGGCTCCCAGACAACTAAAATCTTCAGGACAAAACCAAACTTTATGTCTGGTCTGGTCATGGAAGAAAGTTTAGAAATGTAAGAACATCTCTTCTCACCCCCACCCCAGCCATGTCCCTGACTAGAGGAAGAAAGTTTCAGCACCTCTGGAGTGGCAGTGATATGTTCCAAGACATCCTCTGTGATTGGAATATAACTGGCTCTTACCACGTATGTTTTGTACACTTATGATCCAAACAGAAAAAAAAAAATGTATGCCCAAGTATATTTTACAAATATGCCACAGCAGAATATGAAAGCTTTCATAACTCTGAATTAGGGCTGGCCACTTGTCAAGAGAAGCAACAAACTCCCTCGTTGCTTCAAAGTTCCACTGTTTTCAATGAAGAGGCAGGCAGGAACTTGCCCTTGGAGATAGACCATGCTATAATTGGAATAAAAGTTATTATAAATGTGCTAAAGTATGAAACTTAATGGGTGAGTGTTTCATAAATACTCTCAAGTTAGTAACTTTGCTTTTTACTCCCACTACAACACAATTTTAGTAATTATGCTTGAGAGATTTAAAGTGAGGAGATATAATTATGACAGTACTTGTGTTATTCTGGGTCCTCCAAGAAGCAAATCCAAGAGAGGATCAGATATGCAAGAGATTTATTAAAGGAAATGCCTGTGAGAGAAAATGTGGAGGGAGCCAGAGGAGGCCGGGAGAGCCACCATTAGACTGCAATGTAGGTTTAACCCTTGGGAAGGAGAGAGCAAAGGAAAGAAAGGCTTCCACTGAAGTACAGGTCTCAGAGAGTTTCTTTCAGGATCATGAGGAGTCCTTGAGCCAAACTCACCCATCAGGAGAGTCCCACGTTTTCCAGGAATGGGCCTGCCTTAGGATCCTCACTACATTTAATCACCAGCCTGGAGAAGCCCTTGGCAGCATGGCCTTGGCGCCAAGGATTCCAGAGCACACCAGCTGGGGCCAGCTGGCAATTTCATACCCACCCCCTGCAGCTGGACATCCGAGAGGAACATTTTCATCGCCACCACAGGACTCATTCTTAAAGCAGCTGTAGACACCTGTTCTGGATCATCTTAAATAGTGACTTAGTAAACCTCCCCAGTGACTCATAACAGTAAATGTCCATAGGTGGATTCATCCATCTCTGTTCCTAAATTAGAGTGTGGCTAATTCTTTCCAGATTCTTAAGGTCCTTAAAAGAAAGAATATATGGTACCACATTAAGTTAAGCTCATGACTGAAAATAATTTAAGAAGGAAGCCAGTGACTATTAATACTAGCCCACAATTAGAAGGCACATGTATGAGTTATCCCTGCATTTGGCATAGTGATAAACTGCAATTACTGCAGCAATTTCTCTCTATTTGACAAAACATGGACTGATGTACCACTGGTAAAAATAATATTTCTGATTTCTGTTTGCCTCTTGTATATGCTGGACAATGAAGTATAATATTGTTTATGTATATTTATTTTGTATAACCCAGAAAGAGTCTGTCATGGAAGCACAAAAAGTATGAGTTAGCCTGCCTGACTTAAGCAAATATAGATCTACCCTTGGAACTGGAGATGACTTCATTGTTCCCTGAATCTCATAAGGGAGAAATGGATTATCTGATTAAAAAAAAAAAAAAACAGATTTGGTTAGAAAGGACAATAGGAGTAGTGTAAGGAATAGATGTTGAGGAGGCAACCACAGTGTTTACTAAATGGTGCTTTCAAAAAATCTTCCTCCAAACTGTAGAATGGAATCCAAACTCCCTAGTATGGCAGCCAAAGTTCCTCTAAACCGCGCCCAAACTTCTCTTTAGAGCTAGCACTATGCAAGTTCTGCTAACAAGTTTCAGTCACTATGAATATTTTGTCTTTCTCAAATTAAGCCTTTCACATTCATATCTCCGTGCTTTCGAATATTATACAGTCTCACGTTGTAATACCTTCCACTCTTATCTTCCCACAAATATACATTTTTCTAAGCTGAATTGCTGTGTCACCTTCTCTGCACATTCTTCTCTAATCCTTTGATCAGAAATAATTGCTGCTTCTTTTATGTGCCCTTGCACCTAATTTGTAGCCAATTTTGGTATAGTTGTTTTCATGTCTTTTTTCCTCTCTAGATTTACTGACCATAATAGCATTTCTGTCTCCCAGAGTGCCTCACAGAATAAGTCCAGTAAGGAGATGTTGACTTTCACTGAATGGCTTCTGTTTTCTCCCAAGTCAAAGGAAAGATCTGGGGCCTGCACCTTTGCATAAGCAATAACCATTTCGAAGCTTATCCAACCTGCCTTATTTTTGTTGTTGTTGTTGTTCTGTTTTGTTTTATTTTAGACTTCTAGCAGCCTGAACTCATGGTTTTTAGTTTCTGTCTCTAGTGAAAGGAGAAAAAAGGGATGAGGAAGGGGTTTTACTCACCCAACCAGAAACAGAAACTAAGAACCCATGACTGTATTCTCTGTCAGACACCGTTTAGGCAGAACGTAAATGCTGGTCTCTTTCTCTCTTTCTTTTCTTTTCTTTTCCTTTCTTTTCCTTTCCTTTCCTTTCCTCTCTCTTTCTCTCTTTCTCTCTCTCTTTCTCTCTTTCTCTCTCTCTCTTTCTCTCTTTCTTTCTTTTCTCTTTTTTTAATAAGCCGTTATGTCAATCCTGTGTTGTTAGGTTCCATTCCTCAGGCAGCTCCTGCTCCCAAATGGCAGGTACTTTCTGCTCTCTGACCCTGGAAAATCACCTTTGTTTAAAGCCCTTTCTTCTATTAGAGCAACACCAAAACACTCTCAGGAGTTAATTTCGAACGATAGTGGTGCTTTACCATGAGGAGTGAGGTTGATGGCTGGAGTGCAGTGGCATGATCTCTGCTGACTGCAACCTCCGCCTCCCGGGTTCAAGCAATTCTCCTGCCTCAGCCTCCCGAGTAGCTGGGATTACAGGCCTGCGCCACCATGGCCCGGCTAATTTTTGTATTTTTAGGAGACGGGATTTCACCATGGTGGCCAGGCTGGTCACGAACTCCTGACCTCAGGTGATCCACCCGCCTCGGCCTCCCAAAGTGCTGGGATTATAGGCGTGAGCCCCCGCACCCGGCCCTGAGTCAGCTTTTAACGTGCAAGTTTACTGACCCACTTTTTTGATATCCATCTCCCACTTCAACTCCCAAAGGTCTGTTGTTCCCTGATATGAAGCCTAAGAACTCAATGTACTTCACCACACGCTGCATTTCTAACGAATTATTCCAAATTCTGGCAAGTCTTATCCACACTTTCTTTTCTGTGTAAGTTTCTCCTTGCTATTTGTTTCTGAAACCTGAATGTATTTGGTCCTCTGCCAATCAGATTTCCACTAGTCCTCCAAAGAGTCAGTTATTAACTGACTAATTCGACAGATATTTTTGGACGTTCACTGTATCCTTATTTATTTAGTATATATTTAGTTATTTATTAAGAAACTAAAGCCTATTCTATGTCAGAAATGAAAATAGGCCATGAGGACCCAGTGGTGGGCAAAATGCAGACAGACTACTCTTTTTTCCCTCATTCTAGCATAGTCATCACTTTCCTAGGAAAGACGTTCCTAACCTCCAGACTCCACCAAATCCTCCTCCTGACCACACCCTTCCACCCTGATTTTCACCTTCTGACCTCTCTTGTGTAGAAATTCGAGCAGAGCCACTCTATAGCTTTAGCTTAATTTCTCCAGCCATGCAAGGATGAATCTGTGTTAGTGATGCCACAGGCACGTTTCCTTCCCAGCAAGAATATCACTGACTGGGCAGCATTTCTCTGGATACTACCAGAGAAAAATGTCCTCCTAGTTGAGCACCCGCCCCATGGCCGTAAGCATCCACCGGGCTCGAAGTGCATGGCCCGCCGCTGACCACTAGGGGGCAGCCCTCCACGCAGAGACTCGAGCCACGGGGGCGACGCAGCGGCCACCGGCTCTGCTGAGCCCACCCCAGAATCAGAAGGAAGGGAGCCTGATTCCACGCGGGGCCTCCCCCGTGGCATACGTTGTTGTTAGGCAACTATTCGCCCCGAATATGGTTTATTGGAGCCTTAGGGTTTGCTTTTCTTATCAAGTCCGACAGCAACCTGGCTGGGTCCCCTCTCGCATTCAAGAACCCGCAGAGACTCTGGGGGAGCCGGTTTGAGGCCCCATGCAGGCCAAAGCATCCCTCCGAGAAGGCGGGGTCGCTCACCTGGTAGGTGCCCCGAGAGCCTGCAGCACGGCCCGAGGTGGGGTCCACCGATGGAACGGGAGACCACGGGCGTGGCTCAGGGCGCGGTAACCGCTCCCCGGGCCCGCCTCAGGGACGGCTCCGCCTCACCCCAGCCTGTGCCCCGCCTCCGGGACAGCCCAGTTTCCGAGACCTCCCAACCTCCGAGACAGCTCCGCCCCCAGAACAGCCTGGCCTCCAGGACGGGCCCGCCTACGGTACAACCCGCCTCCGGGACAGCAGGGCTGCACCTCCGAGACAGCTCCGTACCCAGGGACGGCCCCGCCTCCGAGACGGCCCTGCCTCCAGCACGGCCCCCACCTCCGAGACCGCCCCGCCTCCGGGACCGCCCCGCCCCGCCTCCGACACGTCCCCAGCGCACCACTGCAGAGCCAGTCCATGCGTCCCCAGGGATCCGCACTGCTCAGGGGTGAGTTTTCCAATCCGAGCGGGTCCTGGGTGGGGGCGGTGGCTGAGCACCTAGGGCACAGGGAGTCGCCGCAAAGTACTAGAGGCCCCAGGCCATTCCCGGCGTCAGGGGGCGTCCCTCCCTTCTTAGGTCCAGGTCTGGTTTCATTTCGTTTTGTTAGTCTGGTGCTATTTGCAATTTGTGTCAAAACACATTTCTCCCTCCTATTTGAACTTGTAAATTATGAATTTGACAAAGATGAGCATGGTGTGTGCGTGCACGAGGACACATGTCCTTGCGGAATGCTGGGTCAGCTTTCCGGGACATATTACTCATCTGAGGTTTTTTTGTCTGTTTTTGTTTATCCTGTCAAACTGGTTCTGCCTCTGAAGTGAAAGACGTCGCTTGTCTTTTGGAAAGTAGCTAGCAAGATCTTGAGCTCAGGCTTCCGGATCTCTCTCTCTCTGCTGCTTTTTTTTTCCACTGGTAACTTCTAAGGCTGAGATCATGTACCCGCATTCTCAGTGCTCTGCCGAGTATTGGCTCTCTTTTGTGAATTTCTTTCCCTCGAGCATTAAGAAAAAGGTGGTGGATAGGAAGGGAAGAGGGGAAGAGATAGAATTCTACAGGAAATGCAGGGCATGCTCAGAATGCCAACCTTTGTGAGCTTGAAGAGATTTCGTGGAAGAAAGTAGCAGGGAAAACGTCCAGTAATCACTGGCATGCCAGACCCTGGAGAAGTCAGGCTGAGGCGCTCTGCAAGTTTCACCTTAGAGAGAGTGGACGAAATGTAAAGGTTCTTGTGAGAGTTCTTGTAGAGGACGACTGTGGGTGAGAATACATCCCGGTGACTAAAACCAGATTGGTTTAGTCTAGAATGATTGCCAACTAAAGGGACTGATGTTTGAGAGCGATGGTGAGAGATTAACAAAATGAGGTGGTTGACTGCATACGGGAACAGGAGGAAGAGAGGAAGGAGGCACGTGTGGCTCAATGGCTTGGTGTGTGTTTTAGTTTAGATTCTCCCCTAAAGCAAAGCCTTATGCAAGGGCTTACCTGCAGGTGACTTTTTTGCGGTAAGGGAGACCAAAAAGCCCAAATGAGGAAGTAGAGAGAATGAGACAAGGAAAAAGGGACAGCTGGGAGGGGCATGTGGCTGAGGGTCTTCCACGTGGCGCTCCGTTCCTTTGGGAGCCTTCCCAGGATCTCTGTGATGGGTGCCTCTGGAAAGCCATGGGGCACTTTTCTATGACTCCCTGCTCTACTGGGCGAAGCTCACCCTGATGTCAACTCACTGCTACTTCAGGGCTGCCCTGTGCATCTGCAGAGGTGAGAAGCCATCTGAACACACTGGAAAGTCCCTCACAGTGGGCTCCTCCGAGATGCGCGTAGGGAGGCGACACAGGCAGCCAGGGGACTACTGCAGGACTGCAATCTACAACACTGTCCTCATCCATCCGGGAAACTAGAAAGAACAGCAAAGGGACAGACACTCTCGTTTATTCCTTGCCCACTGTGTGTGTACCAACTCCAGACAAGGCATTTTTAGCCGTATTCTTTGTTTTGTTTTATTCTATTCTATTCTGTTCTATTCTATTCTATTCTATTCTATTCTATTCTATTCTATTCTATTTTTTGAGGCAGAATCTTGCTCTTTTGCCCAGGCTAGAGTCCAGTGGTGCGATATCGGCTCACTGCAACCGCCACTCTCGCCAGGGTTCAAGAAATTCTCGTGACTCGGCTTCCTGAGTAGCTGGGATTAGAGGCACACACCACCATACCCAGCTATATTTTGTAGATTTAGTAGAGACGGGTTTCGCCATGTTGGCCAGGCTGGTCTTGAAATCCTGAGCTCAGGTGATCCACCCGCGTCAGCCTCCTAATGTGCTGGGATTACAGGCATAAGCCACCGTGCCTGGCCTATCTGTATTCCTTTAATCTTCAAAAACAATCTTCCCAGGGCTGTATTATTCTCTTTTTGTAGATGGAGAAACTGAGGCTGAAGTCATTTATCCAAGAGGATCTGCTTAAAGGGAAAAATAGGCTCAGTTTTAGGCACAGCAAATCTTCAAAGACCTCCAGAAACTGCAGAATGCTACCAAATAGAGGGAGGCCCTCTCCATTAGGGCAGACTTTATAAATTGGGGGGCACTTTCCAACTTATCAGAGCTGTCAGAAGAAATGCATGTTTTGACAGGTCTATGACCTTTCTGTTCAAAAAGCTCAGGTACCGTGTCAACTCAGGCTCACGAACTTAACTGCCACCTGGATCTACCAGCCCCGCAGGATCTAGCCCCTCCTTCCCTCCTCCTAGGGTCCTGCTCTTCCCTGCCTCTGGCTCTCAGCCACCCCAAAGTGGTCTCTTTGCTGGAATGCTCTTTGTTCACTGCATTTCAAGTTCCAGCTTCAATGCCAGTTTCTCAGAGGCCTTTCCTATCACCCAATCTAAAATAATCTTCCAGTTCCTCCATATCACATCATCATGTTTTATTTTCATCATAGTGATTGCTGCATTTTATTTATCTTTCTATCTACCTATTTATTCTTCTTTCTTTCTCCTTCTAAAATATTCAACTCACAAAAAGGGAAATCTTATCTGTTTTGTTTCTTGTTGTACTCCCAGTGCTAGCACACTGCTTGGCCCACAGTAGAGAATCCAGTAAAATTTGGAGGTGCATGCATTCAGTTGTTTGCTTTTTTCAGCTGTTCCTTCGTCTCTTCTGAGCAGCAGTGCATATCAGTGTCTCTTAATACATGAAGGTCTTTGCTTCCCCTTGCAGCAGCTGATAGAACCATGGCGACCACTGCCGCTGCTGCGTTCGAGGCCCTCATGGATGGAGTGACATGCTGGGATGTCCCCAGAGACCCCGTCCCCAGTGAACTCCTTCTTATTGGAGAGGCTGCCTTCCCCGTGATGGTGAATGACAAGGGCCAGGTGCTCATTGCTGCCTCCTCCTACGGCCAAGGCCGCCTCGTGGTTGTGTCCCATGAGGGCTACCTGTTGCATGCGGGCTTGGCTCCATTTCTCCTCAATGCAGTGAGCTGGCTGTGTCCCTGCCCTGGGGCTCCCATGGGAGTGCATCCATCCCTGGCACCTCTAGTAAACATCCTGCAGGATGCTGGGCTTGAGGCACAGGTCAAGCCAGAACCAGGAGAGCCCCTAGGGGTTTACTGCATCAATGCCTACAATGACACCATGACTGCAACACTGATCCAGTTTGTGAAACATGGAGGGGGCTTGTTAATCGGGGGCCAGGCCTGGTACTGGGCCAGCCAGCACGGCCCTGAGAAGGTGCTCTCCAGGTTCCCCGGGAACAAGGTGACAAGTGTGGCCGGAGTGTACTTCACCGACACCTATGGGGACAGAGACCGGTTCAAGGTCTCTAAGAAGGTGCCCAAGATCCCACTCCATGTCAGGTGAGTGTCGGTTCCCCTCTTAGGGAGTCTGACTCAGGGTAAACAATAGAGTTGGTTCCCCTCCTCAACGAGCTTCCATTTTTCAATACAGGTGATTTTCCACCCAGTTTGGAACCACCACAAATCAAAAGCAGGATGATTAAAATGCACCAAGACACAAGAGAGGCTGGGCCCTCACTGCCACTCCCTCCTGTGGCCAAAGCTGAATAGAAAAGCTTGTCTTACCACTCTATCTCCATGTCTAGTGCATAGAACATAGAGAGTGCTCATCGGTACCTCTTAAATGCATGAAAGAATAGTTGTTTGCATGAGCACCTACTGTTGGTCACGCCTCATTCTGGATAATGGGGGTCTAGCAGAGATGGAGGCAGGCAAATCATGCCATCATGAGGTTTGTATTCCAGGGAAGAGATAGGCAATTAAGGAAAATAATATATATGTGCTCTGTCAGGCATTGCTAAGATCCATGAAGGATAATAATATAAGTGGATAGCATGACAACTGGAAGGCTGATGGAGGCTATTTTATTTAAGGTGTTCATGGAGGTCCTATCAGTCAGGCCAAGTTGGATTGGTCAGGATTTGTTGGCATTGCTAGCAGAAGGGATTTAGTGTGGGGAATTGACTATACCCATGATAGAGGAGCTGCAAATACACACAGGGGACAGCAAGAAACCCAGAGATCAGCAACAGCAGAACCAGCAGAGGGAGATGGTGGTATTACTGCAGTCCGGGTGCTGCGGCCACCTGGTAGAAGCTGAAGCCATGCTACGCCTTCCCAGCAGGAGCTGGAACACAGATGCAAGGTCTGTCTGCTGGGAGCTGGAGTCTCAGAGAAGACACTGTGGTTACCAGAAATACAGCCTGAAGAGAGAAGCAAACGCTTAGCCTCCTTCCCTCTTCCTTCCTGATTTCAGTCTTCTACCTCTGCCTCCCATGGGCTGAACCCACCAGGATCCAGGGAACAGGGCAGCCACAGAAATGCAGTTTTCTGCAACACAGAGGATGACCAAGATGAAAGGGGAATGGAGATGAGTACAAACAAGCCCATGGCTAGCTTGGAAGGCTGGTCTGGTAGGTGACACTTGCAAGGAGACCTCAAGGAAGTGAGGGAATGAACCATGTGGGCATCTGTGAGAGGAAGATTCCAGGCAGAGTGAGGAGCGAGTGTGAAAACCTGGAAGGGAAGCCTGCTTGGTACGTTCCAAGGGAAAGGGAGTGGCCCTTCTGTAACGTCAGAAGGCTCTGCAAAGCCCCAGGGGAGAATAGCTGAGGCAGCTGTTCTGTGACCCTGAGGCAGAGGGCAAGGAGTAGGTACAAGTGAGTGTAGGGGAATTTGTCTTGATCAAACTTGTTTGAAGTTGTATAGGAGCTGACATTTGAACATCTGCATGCATGATGTTCTCTGAATGAGGAACAATAAATGTTAGTCATTTACGGATTGTGTAGGCTCCAGGCTTTCGGTATTATGCCTGCAGTAAATAAAACCAAGCAGCTTCAGCTTCTTGGAGCTACTCTCTGGCCACTAGAGCCAGGCAGTCACCTAGCTGTTCTTACACTGCATACCTGTGTCTGAGCACTCATTTCATCCATCAGCCAGGGACACACCTGGCAATCAAGGAAGCCAGAATGATGGGAGCTCAGTGAATGACAGCTCAGGTCATGTAAGAACTGACAGGCCAGGAGTAGAACTTTAGATCTTATTTGCAGTGAGATGGGAAGGCATTTTGTATTCTCTACAGAAGATTGCTATGATGTGACTTAAATTTCAAAAGGAACCCTGTGATTGATGGTGGAGAACAGACTGTGGGAGGCAAAGGTGGAAGTAGCAGACCAATCAGGAGGCCACTGAGATAGACCACAGGAGAGATGGTGGTGGCCCAGACAAGGCTGGTAGAAGCTGTGGAGCTACTGAGAACAGGTTCCCTTCTGGAAACACCTCAAAGGGAGAACCCAACAGGCTTGGCTGATGGATTGAGTAAGGAGAAAGAGGATTTGAGACTTTTGGTCTGAAAAAGACAAAAAATTAAACACAGGTGCTGCTGTTTAGTGATCTGTGAAAGGACAATGAGAAGATGGATTAGAGGAGATCAGGAGTTTCATTTTGGATGTTTTGGGTTTCAGAGATTAGTGACTACTTACTTATGTTTGCCCACGTGTAGCAGAAGCCTTAGTATAGCAGATTAACCATGTAGCTGTTTATTTTTTCTATGAAACATGAAGTACGGGTAGGTAGTCCAACTCTGGGGCAGTGACTCCATGACGTCCCATGGTTGGTCTCTGTCTCCCTATCACTGCCTGCCCCTGTCATGGTGTGTTATTTTATCCTTATGGCTACAAGATTGCCACTACTACCCCAGGCACCATAATTACACCCATGCAATAATAAATTGGAATGGATACACCTACTTTAAGTTTATACAATCATATATTTTCTGGAAGTCCTAGACTTCTATTTATATTTTAGTGGCCAGCCTAGTTAAATCAGTAGTTCCTAACCTTTTGCTCCCAGGGACCTGTTTTGTAGAAGATAATTTTTCCATGGACCTGGCAGGGGTTTCAGGATAATTCAAGTGCATTGCATTTATTATCCACTTTATTTCTATTATTAGTACATTGTAATATATAATGAAATAATTATACAACCCACCATAATGTAGAATCAGTGGGAGCCCTGACTTCCAGACCTAACTACCAGAAGGTCTGAAGGGTTGGCTATTTTTAAATGGGCACTGGCGTCTCTGAAGAAATCAAGATTCTGTAGAAAGAAGAAGGGGCATTCAGATACTAGTGAGCAGCTGGCAGTGCCCCGAACCCCCAGCCCCGAACTCCGGACCTCTTTGAATTCCTTCCCTTCTGAGAGATTTGGGGAGGGGATGAGTTTTTTCAGAAACATTAGAGTGGATCTGATTCACTTCAACTTTTTTATTCTAACACTAAGGAGGGACAAACAGGTGAAATCTCATCACCATAATGCCTCTTAATTGCCCCAAGGGACTCTCCTATTTAGCTAACTCAACCTGCTTTTCTTCATCTATACCTACATTTTTAATCCCTGCCACCAACTCTCAGGTATATTTTGTGTGTTTGTTATTCTAACTCTTAATTACTGAAAACATTAAACATATGCAAAAGTAGACAGAAGAGTACAATGAACCCCCATGTAGCCATTCCCCATGCCCAAAATAGTCAACTCCAGTTCTATCTTATTTCACCCATAGCCCCACTCTTCCCCACCCAAGATTATTTTGAAGCAAACAGCAGACATCATGTCTTTTCATCTGTAAGTATTTAAATATACATCTCTAAAGGTATGAAGTATTTTGAAAACATAAATGCAAGTCACCATTATCACACCTAAAAGAATAATTCTTTAGCATCATCATTTATTTCCATGATTGTCTTATTTTTTAAAATTTGTTAATGTTGGGCCAGGCGTGGTGGCTCGTGCTTTTAATTCCAGTACTTTGGGAGGCCAAGGTAGGTGGATCACTTGAGGTCAGGAGTTTGGGACCAGACTGGTCAACATAGCAATACTCTACTAAAAATACCAAAATTGGCTGAGTGTTGTGGTGCACGCCTGCGGTCCTAGCTATTCGCGAGGTTGAAGTTGGAGAATCACATGAACCCGAGAGGTGGAGGTTGCAGTGAGCCGAGATCGTGCCATTGGACTCCAACCTGGGCAACAGAGTGAGACTCTGTCTCAAAAAAAAAAAAATATGTTGACATTGACATTTAAATAAAGCCCAGATATTCTGATTTCCTGATACAAATTTTTTATCTCTTTTAAGATACACTTTTCCTTTCCAACTTTCTGTTTCTTGCAGTTTTGTTGCTATTGTTGAAGACACCAGCTACTCCTTATCAGTTTCCTTCAGTCTGGACTTTGAAAGTAGACCTCAAGGAAGTCAGGGAATGAGCCATGAGGGCATCTGTGAGAGGAGGATTCCAGGCAGAGTGAGGCGCAATGGTGAAAACCTGGAAAGGCAAATTCATTGCCTTCCTATGGTATCATTTAAAACAGGGGTGCCAGTCTATGGCCTATGAGGAACCAGACCACACAGCAGAATGTGAGCAGTGGGTGAGCAAACAAAGCTTCATCTGTATTTACAGCTGCTCCCCATTGCTTGCATTACCACCTAAGCTCCGCCTCCTGTTAGATCAGTGGCAGCATTAGAGTCTCATAGGGACACGAACCGTGTTGCAAATTGCTCATGCAAAGGGTCTAGGTAGTGTGCCCCTTATTGAGAATCTAATGCCTGATGATCTGTCACTGTCTCCCATCACCCCCACATGGGGCCATCTAGTTGCAGGAAAGCAAGCTCAGGGCTCCCACTGATTCTACATAATGGTGGGTTGTATAGTTAGTTCATTATATATTACAATGTACTAATAATAGAAAAAAGTGCGCCATAAATGTAACGCACTTGAATTATCCTGAAGCCCCTGCCAGGTCCATGGAAAAATTGTCTTCTATAAACATGTCCCTGGTACCAAAAGGTCAGGGACCACTGATTTAACGTATTCATCTTTTCCTTGTATTTTCTGTATAATACAAATTAAAAGTTAGATCTCGATTTTAGGTCAGGATTGACAAACTTAGACCAGCCCCTGTTTTTGTGAATGAAGTGTTGTTAGAGCACAGCTGTGCCCATTCATTCACAAACTGTGACTGCTTTCAATCTCCAGTGTTTACCGTTGTTCAGTAGTTTTAGCAGAGACCATGTGACCCATATTTGTCTAACATATTTGTCAGGCCTTTTAAGGAAAACTTTCCTAACTCCTAATCTAGAGGTTTGATCAGATTCATGTTTGAATTTTTGACCTACTTTATAGGTGGTAGTATGCACTTCCATTGGATGGAACACAGTGGTCTAATTTTCTCTCTTACTGTGAGGTTGGCAGTCCTTAATAACCATTGCTTAGCCCTAGACGCATTAATTTGTGTTTATAAAATGATGACTTTAAAATTTTAATATTCCTTTTATTTGTTATTTGGAA